GCGGCGGGGTTTTCCCCAGTCCTCTGATGTGAGCCGACAGAGTAGCTGGTGAATACCAGAGCAAGAGGGAAGGTCACGAACTGGAATGGAGGTGATCCTCCTCCCCTCTTTGAAAGGAACTCGCGGTAGAGAGGTGCAGTCAGGTCAGGGCTCAGCTCAACCCCAGAGCAACACCTTCCTGTTCTCTGCCCCTTTGACACTGCTGTGTCCCCTCTCTCTGTCTGAATCCGTCTCTTCCCTCTGCGGTCCTCCCAACAGACCACCTGCTGCCCCACAGGTGGGTCTTCCTGCTTCAAACGCCTCTTTGGTTTTGTTTTGGTTTTTTTCCTAACCAATCCCTCTCCATCTGCAAGGGATGCACATCGAGCTGCAGGCTAGGCTTGGAATAAAATCCGAATGCATCGGAGAAAGGACGATTAACTGCCGGTCCGATCGATCGGTCCCTTGTCGGGCCAATTAATCACTCAGGATGAAAACTCCAGCTCCGATCGGTTCTCCCCCTTCTCCTCTCCTTCCTCTTTTTCTCTACTTCCCCCCTATCCCCCACCCTGACGCCTCTGCACCCTAAAAATCATCTTTCTAATCTTCTGCGTCATTCTCTTTGCTTCTTGAAAAACGTCCACAGCTGTGGAGGCCCCCGAATGTTTGCAATAGTACCACCGAGGCGTCAGGAACTGCCCTGTATGCAGAGCTGCTTGTCTGTGGAAAGAGTTATTTGTGCCCACAGTGGCATTTATTTTTGTTTGTGCCCAATGATCAGCAGAATCCCTTTCTACTGGCAATAAAAGAGGGGAGTTTGAGAGCCTCTGGAAAAGGAGAACGTTCTGAGAGGCCAAGGAGAGTGAGTAGTTTTCTGTGACGATTCGCCAGATGGTTTGTTTTCCAATGTATTTATCCCCCCCTTCGCTCAGATGACCCCGCTATGGAATCTCGGGATTATTCAGCATATGGCTCCCAGTGAGGGGCCTCATGTGGCAGAGCCGCTCTTCTCCGTGCCTGCCAGGAGAGTTAGTGCTGATTGGAGGAGTCTCGGGTCCATTGCTGATGTCACTGTTGCTCTGAATGCTGATTGGCCCCTGACCTACCAATCCTGGGGGGGGCTCAACCAGGAGTGCACCCTGCCTGGGGAAAACCCATTAGAGAGTCTAATTGACATTGACAAAGGAGAGCCCCCTCTGGATTGGGGGAGATCACAGCAAATTATTTTGTTCAATGCAGCTCCGTGAGGGACGAACATGTGAACATTCCACCAAGAGACAGTGCCTTTCCGCAGGCCTTTTGCACACGTTACACTGGCTGGGACTGGTTACTCGAACCCGTGGGTGGGCGGTATTCCACAAAGCTGTGCTTTAGCCAGCCACCTGGAATGCCACGACAGAGAAGGTTGTGTGTATGGCATGCTAATCTCTCTGTAATGGCTCATACTGTAGGTGTGTCTCTGTAAAAATGCATTGGCTTTCACTGGATCTCTCCAGTGCATTGGGTGTGTTCTCTCCTTTTCCTTAAGGCTGACCGCTCGATCGCTCTGGGAGACGACAGCGTCTCTAGGAGTGCCCACGACGTATGGGTGAGAATTTGGTGTCGTCTTCTCCGACAGACCAGAGCCGGGAAATGCCGATCTCGCCTCGTAGACGCTGCGCTGTTCCGAAACGAGCCACAAATTAGTCAGAACTGCAACAGAAATGCGGTGCTTCTCCGTCCGAGAGTGCTTGGGGGTGTTTTCTCGTTAGCGGTTCAGTGATGTAATCTCCGTTTCAGTGGTTGTGCGTTGAACCCACTGGCAGGGAAGTGCGCGTCACTGGTGTCTGACCTCAGAAAGAAATCGGCTTGCGTTTGCTGTGGATCTGCGGGCACGTTCTCGGAGAGGCTGCAAACAATCGCAATTGTGCTCAGACCCGTTCTGTTTAGTATCTCTTGTGTGTGTTACCATCTGTTCAGAGGGCCTCTGTGAGCTTTGTACCAACTTTTCCTGCTGGAGCTGCGCTATTTTAGAAGGTGGACATACTGGTTTGAACTGGAGGGGAAGAACGCTGGACCCAAGGGCTGCTGTGTGATTCAGGAGTGTGTGCTACGAACCTGAGTAACCAAATGTGTTAAAAGAAGTGCATCTTTGGCAGATAGGGAAGAGGAAGATGTCCGTGTTTTGGGACACTGCCAGTCTGATCAGCACAGGGAGGCGTGATAGAGAAGAGAAAAATATTTAATCACTTAGTGATCACAAAGTTTAATCACTTTGAGAAAAATACACCGGGCATGTCTGTGTGCTTCGCTCCCATGTGCATGAAATGAAAACTTCTTTCAACCTCTGAGACGGACTCCTGATGCTCTTTTAAGGGATCCCATGGAAATATTTCTCCAATCCATCCATCTTCTTACCACTTCAGTTCGGGGTCTCAGGGGAGCAGGAGTCTATCCCAGCAAGCAAAGGGCACAAGGCAGGATACCCCTTGGACGGGACGCCAGTCCATCACTCACCATCATGCTGCTGATGATGTAACATAGATGTAGCAAAACATTTCCACCCGAAATCAGACAGGACTGAACGTATGCTGACTGGCTCTCCTTATCAACTCCACATCAGTGTCGGCTTTCGCTGGGGCTGAATTCGCTCAAGGACAGAGCAGGAAGTCGTGTGCTCAAAGTTGTGAAAATAATGCCAGATCTCTCTCAATCTGCCAAAAAAGATTAAAGAGATAACGCTTTTGACTTTTCAAAATGATTGATTCTTAATCGGGGCTTGCTGTTGTATCCAAAATGTTTTTAAATGAGCTACACTTTTCCCCAAACTCAACATTTTTTAGTTTCACTTCTAGAACAAAACTGGAAATATTGCTGCTTACTTACAAGCTTTAGAATGCATTTCTCACTCCTGTCTCTGTCAGTGAATCATTAAGAGAGGAGTTTATTCTACACATTCTGCTTATTTGCTAGTTAAGTTAAGCTAAACATGAGTAGCTTTCTACAGTTTTATAATTTTATGACTTGGCAGAAACTTTTGGTGGTCTATTTCAGGCTCGACATGAGTTGTAACCCAATTTAGAGAACAGTTTTCCTCCATTAATCTTCATATAACAAAAGTAACACTACTAATGGTCTATGAACTCATTGAACTATTTAATAACCTGAGATACACACCAGTCCAGACGGGAAGTGTTTATATATTTAGTGGAAGGAAATGTTTGGAGAAAAATATCTCATAGTCACCTGATCCTTGTCACTCCAAAATGATGAAATAGTATCGCTGTGACATAAGGCCTCCAGGCACAGCCCAATGACCCAATGCGTGTTTCTTATTTTGAAACATCCATTCCATTCATTTTCTAACCACTTCATCCAACTCAGGGTTGCGGGAGGGAGCTAAAATCTATCCCAGCAAGCAATGGGTACAAGGCAGTGTACACCCTGGACAGGACACCAGTCCAGCACAGGACACCAGTCCAGTCCAGCACAGGACACACACACACACTCCCAGATGCCAATCAACCCACCAGCAAATCTTTGGGCTGTGGGAGGAAACCAGAGCACCCAGAGAAAACCCATTCAAACTTGGTGAGAACATGCAAACTCCACCCAGACAGCACCCTGCGACTCACACCCAGGACCTCAGGACTTCGAAGCCCCAATGCCACTCACTGTGCCACAGTGCCTCCAAACAGCATGAGTCACGATAACAGAGACACAGAAAACAGGTTTGCAGATGAGTCTGCTCCTTTACTTTTCCAGCCTGTCGGTGGTTTCGGAATGCAGGAACCCCATGAACTGATGAATCAACAACACTCTCAGAAAGGGCGGAACTGGTTCGTTGCACACAAACCGTGGGGTATGGGACATAAACATGTCGTCACGTGCTTGTCAGATCTGCCTCACAGAGGAATGTCAGCCTGTGTTTTTTTTTCCCTCTCTGCTTCATAATACAAAAAACAAAACCTATGGATACCTATTCTAAAAACGCATTCCCTATGTACGCAGACAATACACTCATGTTCTCCCTTGTAGTGATCCACATTTTAATTCAAGGAGGCCACTGAAAATTCTCTCGGTTATGATTGACCCATAATTCTCATTTGGATTTTGGATCTAATGGATTTGTCCGTTTTCTCATTTTTAGTAGCCCTTGGGGTTGGTTTTAACAGTCTGTGTTAAACTCCCAGGCAGCACAGTGATGCAGTGGTCAGTGTTGCTGCCATGCAGTGCTGGGGCCCTGGGTTCAATTCCTGGGATGCTATCTGGGTGGAGTTTGCATGTTCTCCAAGTTGGTGTGGGGTTACATCCAGGTGCTCCTGTTTCCTCCCACGATGCAAAGCAAAGACAAGCTGGTCGTTTTAATTGGCTCTTGGGAAAACTGGCCCAGGTGTGAGTGTGTGTGTGGGTGTGTCCTGCAATGGACATTGCTTGCTGGGATGCCCCCAGTGCTCCTGTACTGTAGTTCAGGTGGGCATCTGCGTCAGGATGCATAGTCTAAAAAGGAACAAGTAACAGGTTTATTCCCTGTGGAAAAGAGAAGAGAGAACGTTTTAGGCTGTGAAGCCTTCTTCGGGTGTGAGCTCACACCTGTACTGTGCTGGGTAAGTCAGTTAGCAAATAGGCCAATGCAATGAAACTCAATGCACAATTTGCTCTGTGCCAGACGAAAGACCTTCATTTCCTGAAACCCATGTCTGTATGTCACTGCTCCGAGATTGAGAATTGATACCCCCCCGTGTGCGCCAGTGGCTTTTATTTGGGCTGGGAGCAGTGCATGTGTGGCGGCAGGAGAGAAGGCTCGGGTAGCTCTCACTGTGTGAGAAAGTGCAGCCTGGATAACAAAAGGATGAAGACAGAGAGGCCCACGCCTTTCCTGGCTCGAGTCGGGAAGATCCAGCGAGCGGGCCGTCCTGAGAGACGGGAGACAAAAGGACAGCTTCCTGGTGAAAACCAGGATCAAGGAAGTGCGAGGAATATCGGCTTCTATTGCTGGCGAGGCTGAGAAGCAGACACCTGTGCACGGCGCGACTGAATTCAGACCCAGGAGGAAGTGCAGGGGGGCAGACCCGGGGCAGGTGGAGGCCGGCTCTTCCTGTCGGAGAGCAGTAGCGGGACGGGGGCGACGTTTATAAAGAACCCCGATTAATCCCGGAGAGGCAGACGAGCGGGAGGGGGTCAGACCGAGACTACTGCAGAAACTTCGGGCGGGTCGTTCAAGGGGGCGAAACAGAATCTCTTCCCAAACCACGTTCCCAGCCCTGTCCTTCGCCAGGGACCAGTGAGGAGGCAAGGGGGAACCGCCGGATGATCGTTTCTTAGCCCTGTTATTCCGGTAGGTGCCGATTTGATACTTTTTAAAAAAAAAGTAAACGGGACTGCTGCGCGTGCCTTCGCGATCCGGCCCGCTGTTCGTGCTAATTGCTCGTGGAAATGGTCATCGTGGAAACTGCACGGCCCGTACTTCCGTCAGCGCTCCTGTCCCCGCAGGATACCCCACAGCACGGAGCGGGAGGTCGCCTGCCCTCCTGCTCAGGTGTGAATTCGCGTTCCAGCGAGCGGGCGGGCGCCCTGTTGACGGTCGCTCTCGAGGCTCTGGCCAGCAGCGGGAGTATTTGAAACCGATCAACCCAGGAGAGGTTGATAAATAGGACCCGGACAACCCCCCGCCCCTACAACCCCCGATTCTCGGGGTTCGGGGTTCGGGATTCTGGTTCATCGGTCCTGGCGAATCTCCCGAGTTTTTCTAACGGGGCGCCGGTCGCTGTCATGGCTCTGTCAGTAAGAGTAATAACAGAACATGGGCGAGTTCAGAGCACTGTTTGGTAGTTCTCAGCGAATTGATCCCAGCAGCTCCACACCCCCACCACTCTTTGTGTAAAGCAGCGCCTCCCGTCCTGATTGGAAGGATGCCATCCAGGTGTGTCTTGAAAATCCTGGTGAGAGAGAGTTGAAAGCTGTCTTGCAAGCTGATCAAAGTGATCAGACTGTGGTTGACTAATATTCTTATGTCATACTTTAAATCCGGGCCCATTAATACTGAACATTACTTACAAATGCACAAAGAATATTTACAAATAAAACACTTAAAAAAAATAACAAGTTCAGGAGTATCATGGGTGGCAAGGTGGTGCAGTGGTGACTGTTGCTGCCTCACAGTGCTGGGGCCCTGGGTTCGATTCCTGGGGTGCTGTCTGTGTGGGGTCTGTATGTTCTCTCTCGCTGTTCTTGTGGGTTCCTTCCCACAATGCAAAGAGATGCTGGTCAGTAAATTGACTTCTGGGAAAATTGGCCCTGGTGTGAGTGTGTGCGTGTCTGTCCTGTGATGGACTGGTGTCCTGTCCAGGGTGTGTGTGTCTGTGTGTTCCCTGTGATGGACTGGTGTCCTGTCTATGTCTGTGTCCTGTGATGGACAGGTGTCCTGTCCAGGGTGTACCCTGCCTTGTGCCTGTTGCTTGCTGGGATAGGCTTCTGAAGAAACAGTTAGAAAATGGATGGATAATAAGCTTATGTGTGTGGCCTGATTTAAAACACCAGTATTTGATACCAGTTATTTTCTGTGCTCTGTGCAGTAGTATGCATGTTAATTTTGTCTTTCAAGCATAGTTTCTTTGAATATACAGATGTATGGGTGTCTGGGCATCAAAATATTTACACTGAAGGTGGGAGCTAATTTGCTTGGGCCCTCAGTGGATCATCCTGAGGGACCGTGGACGAGAAATCATCCGAATAATCAATCAAGCAACCAAGACAGGCTGGAAGGTGACTTGGGAGAAGGATCTTTTTGGTGGTTGGCAATATTCTGGCTGCAACTCTGCAAAATGCAAATTACGTCGTGGAGCTGTTTCATGAAGCGAGATCACGCAGTCAGCTGGATAACTTTAGTAAACATGTTAACAAAAGTCTGGCTTTTCGGTTTCATGAAGTAAGCTTGCATTGTGTCCGTTTAAGTTACCATAGCAACACATCCTCTATCCCTCACCTGTTCTTTAGCCTGGCTTTGTGGTTAAGAGCTCACAATCTGACCAATCTGTCCCCAATAGACGTCACTGGTCTTCAGGGATCCAGTTGACATTAGAGCTTTTTCGAGATGGGCAAAACCCACTGCAGTTCACTGTTCGTTTTTATGTGACAAATACAGTTTCGGCAGACAGGGTCTACTTTACATTCACAATCTCTTAAACTGAGCATATTGCTTGTGGTAGCTCAGTGCTAAAAGAAACTCAAGCTCTGTTCACAGGGCTGAGATTCTTTGTGACTTTACTGTATTGGCGACTCAGAGTGCTTCAGTGAAGCCACAGTGTGTCATGCAATGAGGAAAGTGGTGTTTGGTGCACTAAAACCGTTTTTGTGTGCTTTCATAATGTTCCCTGGCCATACATTAGAGAATAGCATCAAACAGGTTTTTAATTAAATAGCTGGTAATATTCTCGTGTATAATTCTACCCACTGTACATGTAACCCGTTTTTTAATCTGGATTAAAACCTTCTGCACATCGGGTGGGGGTGAGGCAGCCTCCCCTACACTACTTCATTCACACCACAAAAGGCTGGTTAAAAATCCATGTCTTTATTGTGTTGTTGCTGATGAAGATGACTCCTCTGGCTTCTTCTCGTTGGTTCAACAAGGGAACAGTTTCATTCAGAGAGTTACACTACTGTACCGTATTGTACAGGAGCACTGTGGATTATGTTCTTGTGTTCTTGTAGATTCTTGTATTTCAGCTACATAAAACAATATTGTACAGCTACACAACAGCCTACAGAGGCGACCCACTTCCATGCCATAGGAATGGAAGTCCAGCAATGCCAACACAAGCGCGCTCGCACACTTTATTATAGTTTTGTCTTAGCTAGAGACATTTCATTGCTATTTTTAATTAACTTCCGCATTGAGGCTATCGGCGATTGATCGCCAAGCGTCTTCTCTGGCTTTTGCAGTGGCCACAGCATAGCTCCTCGCCCGTACAACAGATTTTATCCTCGGACGTTGCCAGTAAGAGCTGCAGTTCGTGGTCGCCGGTTTCAGACCCGCGCTCCGTCGCCGCGGTTCTGCCCGCGCGGGTACCCGCCTGCCTGCGGAGGCGCGTCGTGAACGCGCAACTAGTGTTCAAACCCGAATCGCTTTCATCGGACCGGCGCAACCAGGTCGGCCGGCGTGGAACCAGGGCAAACAGTCAGTTTCAGCGTTAATTCCACCCTAGTTTGAGAAAGTCTTGAACCGGTTGAACCAGCTTCGTGAAACAGTCCCCGGGCTCTTTTATTCTGGTTTTTATCGCGGATGTCAGCTTGTCCTAACGCCTCCTCGCGCTAATGAGGGTTAATGAGCCTTAATGAGCAGTCATTGAGAGGGCAAAGCACGTGAAGGTAGGATGCTTCCAAATGCAGAACTACTAGCAGCACAGTTCATTGTTTGTGTGATACCGGGCTCCCAGTCAAAGACTTCCAGATGCACAGCTCCACCCTACTGGACCCCTTGGGGTTTCTCATTGAGAGAACCTGGGTGCGACCACCCCACCCGGCCACGAGCACAAAAGCCGCAGTTTGTGGCTGTTCGTCTGGGCACTTCAAGCAGGGACTGACACCTCATACAGAAAGCACGTGCAATTTAATTGTTTTGATATGACAGGGGATTGTCAGCGCCTGTGTCGATTATTCCCGCTGTAGAGCGTTGGTCAGGGTTCTGGATTCTGGGTAACTGGGAGGTTGCGGGTTCAAATCCCGGGGGAGACACAGCTGTCATCCGAATTGCTCCAGTGATGCGGAGAGTGTGCGCTTTGGACCAAGGCATCCCCAAGTCATTCGGAAACTGTGTTACAATTCAGGGGGTCTGCCGTGCGGAGCTGCGGTGAGGTAGGTTTGAAAAGTTAACATTACACTTTCATTGCATTTCTACACAAATTTGAAGCTAAGAATGAGAGGCTGTAACCCATCTGCAATGCCAAATCACTATTAAAATGACCTTTTCTGTGCGGCAGAGGTTGTGTTTACAAATCTTTCAAGTTCTGCTGTTATAAGACCATAAGAACATTTGGCCCCCTCTAGCCAGTTTTGGATGTTAGCTGGATGAGATCCGGGGATCAATTAGCTTCTGTTTCTGGAAAGAAGCCAGGGTATCGGCTTCAACGACAATGGCTGGGTGGCTTGTTGCCCTCTCCCACAACTCTTTGTGTAAGGCAGCGCCTCCCGTTCCCAATTTTGTTTTTTGTTTTTAAATGCACTTCCAAATAGTTTCCACTTCCGTCCTCCGGAATTATGTCCCACTGTGGAGCCTGAAGACATCCGCAGGGTTGACCTGGTCAGACGTCGAATACTTGCACCAGGTCTCCTGATAGTCTTCTCTTTTCAGGACTTAAAGGGGTTGCGCTGCCTCTGCCGAGTGTAGGACATGCCCTTAAGCCCCAGAAACTCTCTAGGTGCTCTTCTCTGGACTGATTCCAGAGCAGGCATATCTTTCCGATGACGTGTTGACAACAATCGGGCACCGTATTGTAAAGGAGGCCTTATTATCGCGTTACGCTGTTTTTAACGTGACATCGCCTGATTTAAATTCAACATTTCTGACGACATATCCTAGCAGTTTCTCTGCCCTTGGTGTTTCTCCCATATGTTGTCTGCAGGATGTGGGCGATGCCTCCGCATGAATACCCTTCTTTTCCCACTTTGAGTTTGGAATTGGAAGATGATGTCTGACACGCCTGGGCGGAGCGGGGGCTCTGTGGCTCAGGATCTGCACCTGTGACTGGAAGGTTGCCGGTTCAAATCCTGCAGCCGGCAGAGGAATCCTACTCGGTTGGGCCCCTGAGCAAGGCCCTTAACCCTAACTGCTCCAGGGGCGCCGTACAATGGCTGACCCTGCGCTCTGACCCCAAGCTTCTCCCTGTCTGTGTGTCTGTATCTCCATGGAGAAAAGCTGGGGTATGCGAAAAGATGAATTCCTAATGCAAGAAATTGTATAGGGCTAATAAAGAAACATTAACACTAACATTAAGCCTTGGGGCTGATCAGCGAGGAAGGTACCGAGAGAGAGAGAGACAGAGGAGGGGGGGAGTCTGAGAGGTGTCTTGTTTCAGGTTAAACAAGTCTGTGCTGGGGCAGCGTTTTGTGAAGAGATCAGGCTCGCTGTCGGGCCCCTCCCTCTGCGCAGTACAGGAACAGGAGTTGCTTACCTGCACTTGCGCTGTGACCAGAGACAAAGCCGGAGTGAAAGAGGAACTGGCGAGCAGATCGCGGACCGGGGCCGGAGAAAAAAAAACGAGATTTCCGAGGGGTCTCTTTTCCGAGAGGAGCAGGGCTTGGGAGCAACAGCATCGCAGCGCGAGTTTGTCAGGTGTA